ACAACAACAAAGTAAAACAGATAAAATCCTCAATCAAACAGAAAGCAGAAAATATTTTAAAAATAGAACAAATTCATTGGGATCATAAGAGAGATCAAATGATAGGGTGCACTTTTTACCCTAATTGCATCTACAACAATCCACTTTCCAACGCGCATTTATGAGAGCAAGGCTATTCAGGTCCTTGGTCCATGGCCAGAGGGGATTCCCCAGAAGCTTACTCCACATGACACCCATCTTGTAGATAGATTTAACATCATATCAGCCCAAATATACAAGTCAAGCCTCTTAATCTTTTATGAGCACATTACAGTATTAGATGAAAATTATAGCTAAATCGACCCTGCTTTCACTGATGAAAATTGGCCTACAATGTGGTCAGTCTTTTTTCCTTCAGTTTCTTCTTTCTCGACCCTGTAGACAAGTTCACACCCTCCGCCTTGACTCCTTGGAGGCTCCCAAATACAAAAGTGTAGTTTTAACTTCCTGAATGATCTTACAGAGCTGGATGGAAACTGCCATGGGTAATAGAAGCTGCTCAGTGGCGCCCCTTCAGGTGATGCTGGGGAAGCATGCTATACTGCTGCTCTGTAAAACCCTCTGTGGGGAAGCAGCAGGCATAAAAAGCCTGAAGATAGATGCCTTTAGAAGACAGAGGCTCTGGAATCAGGCCTGAGTGGAGAAGAGCTGCAGGGATGCCCGAAAGGCCACAGAGGGCCTTGAGTTCTGTGTTAAGGAGCCTGGACCTTGTTCAAGGGGTGGGGTTCAGGGGCTCCAAACTAGGTTCATTGGGGATTAACTTGGCTGTTTTCCTTCTGGAAAGAAAACCCTGGGGCAGTGTGGATGATGGATGGAGAGGGAGCGGCTGGCAGCAGGCAGACCTGAGAGAAGGCTGTCCCTGCCTGAGCAGGAAGCGGGACTAATGGGTGGCCTGGGGGGTGGGGTGGGGAGGAAGGAAGGGGCATTCTGACTGGTGAGGTGAGCGGAGCATAAACATTCTCTGTCCCCCATTTCGTATGTTGGATTCACGGATGTATAGATCCCTAAAGATGGGGCTCCAATGGGTGGAATCTCAACCCGGGAACCAGGTATTATCTTATTGTATCACTATGTATTTAGTTTGCACAATCAAATGCATAACATGCGTCTGAATGCTCTTCATAGTCAATTGGTGAGAATACAGATGTTTGGATTACAACATGTGGTGCGAGTAGCAGGGTAAAGCTTGAGCATCCAGCCCCCTTGTGTGTGTGTTTGCTTCGGCTTGCGGAGTATCCAGAAAGCCCTGATTCACATCTGTCAGTGCCCGATGGCTAGCAAGAGGCTGTATTCGTTTGTTTGTTGCTTTCAACTACAGGCCTTGCAATTTTTCAAGATTCTCTTCCATTAACAACAACAACAAAAATTACGTATGTGATTGTTGTTGTTGAGAATATACACAGGTTGTCTAAAAATAAAATGTACTTAAACTCACTTGAGAATGCCTCCTAGCTGACCACCCTTGAACTAAATTCACCCTGTAGTGTTCCTCGAAAAGCTAGACCCACGTGGTAAACTGCTACAGTGTGAAGCTGTCTCCAGATGCCTGCTACAGCCGAACTACAGGGATCTGAATAGAGACAAGAATCCAAAGGCTTAATTCTGAGTTTAAATAAAGGGAGTGACCATGTTCTTAGCGATGCCAACATCTGAAGTGGATCTTTAAGCATTTCATTCATTATCGAAAGAATAAAGAGACTAATTACAACTGGGGGGAAAAAAACAACTACAAGACCATCTTGTCAAAGATTCCATAAAAGAATCCTGATAAAAAGGAGAGAAATGTAGAAGAAAACACTAAAAATCTTTTTTTTTTTT